AAAGCCAACAACACGGGGGGGGGAAAGGAGCAACCCATTGGCAATAAAATATGGTATAACAATACCAAATAAGGGGGTGTCATAAAACTGACTACTAGGACAAATTACAATCAAAAACATGTACCGCAACAGGGAAACTCTCAGTCAGGGCTCTGTTGAGCATTTCCAAATCCTTTCCTGGTATTAACAGAAGCTCAAACTTGCCCTTATCACAAGTAAACAAGAGTGTTCCCCAACAGCAACCACTTCCAAACCCTTGTGAAACATGGTTGTTTTATGATTGGCTTTTTGCAAATATTAAAATGAATATAATATGTGTTATCTTAGAACTAATGCTGTATTAATTTTCTCAAATAGTCTTATAAATATAATTTTAGGTTATAACAGAATGTTTAAATATAAGCTACACTATGTAAGATACTTGTGTGAAAGCAAGGGCTCATAGCGAGGTAGCAGCCATAGAACACTGAAATTTTTCAGAGAAAAAGAATTTATTGCTCTCCTATCAGAAGAAACTTACTTCCTCCAGCGTCGTTCAGCCTTCAGGAAGCCGGTAAGGATTAAGAGGGAGAAGTTGACGAGGACCAGACAAAATCCTGTGTTTGAATGGAATTTATGCATCGTGTATGAGATGTATGAACATGCAACAGCTTATTGTTTTTAAGGGTTAATTCTCCGTTAACATGTCTTCCTTTTTGGACTTCTGTTGCCCAGAAAATAGGTACCCAGATGTTCGTAACTCTTTGTTTGTATTGTCTCCTATTCTCCTAATCCAAATTGTCCAAAATTTTTATCACTCTAATGATATTGCTAGTTTTATAACCATTTAATTAATTTAATTAATTAAATTTTAAAACTTTACAAACAAGGGATTGCCATTTTTCACACCTCTTCTGGGAATCAGAAACACGTGTGGTTGGGCCGGCTGCACCTGTGGGAGCAATGGGGAGCGTCAGCCCGTGCGGTGCTGCGCTGCTGAGCTGGCAGCACGGTGGATGCGGGCAGGACGTTCTCTGTTTGCCCCAGAGCTGGGGTCTGCAGGCACCTTGCCGCCCCTTGGCACAGGCTGTGCCACCCAACAAAGCCCAGCAGGCCGGGAGGAGAGCCCGGGGCCAGCGCAGCTGCTTGGGCAGTGGCTGCTTGGAGGGACACGGGCCAAAGCCATCCCTGAGCAGCCAGTGCCAGCCCTGGCCCTCCCTGCCCCGTGACAGCTCCCCCAGCGCCAGGGAACTGACTGACACAAACTCCACAGCCAGCAAAGAGATTGCCCCAGTAATTGTCTGCTGCTCTTCTTCCCTGCAGTTGGTCCCAGAAACATCCCTCACACTGCTCTAAATGCCCACACATGGCCTGACCAGCCCCTATGCCTTTCCAGTCTGCTCTCTGAAATTTTGCAACAAACCCACCAATAAATTACAGGTTACCTCTGTGAATTGCATACTAAAATTTTCTTCATTTTTCTCAATACCTGGAATTTCCTGTATATAGTAATGCTCTTAAGGATCTCTGATACTTTTCAGCAATTGTTTTGTATTGAGACTGATGAAACAGCCTTACTGGTTTTACTTTTGGCAGGTCTGGTTTTGTCCTTAGTGTCATGGTTTACTTATTATCTTCATGTAAACTTATTTTTATTTATGTTTTTTGGTTCCCCAAGCAATTATTTTGACAATCTGTCATTCACTTCTAGTCAATGTTGCATGTATGAACAATTTTGAATCTCTTTCTATAGGAATAGAAAGATCTCAGAAAGCTGTATTTGTAATTTTGATGGCACTCTGGCTTCACACCACAGGCCTGATTTGTGGCTCAATGCATGGATGCCTGTCTGAATGAAAGCAATGTTTGTGAGGCAGCTGAAGAGCTTAGACCTCAGAGATTGAAATTCCTGGGAGGAATAGAAGGAAGAAAGTATAAAATGGTGTTTCAAAGGCTGTTTTTTCACTTCTAGTATGCCAGAAGTATGGTAGACTACACGTGTCTTCAAGTGTCATTTAATTCCAGAACAACTCTCTACAGTGCCAGACACCAGGACAAATTACTCAAGACTTTGCCTCCCAATACATCAGCTTTAGTTCTAGTGAGAGGTAGGCCTTAATTCCTGTCCGATTAGAGCAAATCCACAAAGCAACCTTGCCACTGTGTGAATGGAAAGAAGAATTTGCTTCTGAACAGATGAATATGTCCCCCTCAATCATGACCAAAATTTGCCTTGACTTGGAAGCAAGTAGACAAGGAGCAATGCAGTGTTTGGGTTTCATCCTGTGATAAATGGGGCGAGAAGCTGTAACAACTTCCCTCTTTTACAGAACACAAGTACTGATACAGCCAATAATGCACCCACATGAAGGGATCTTCAGGACATTCTTTTATTTCTTAACCAGGAATAGGCAGCAAAATGGTGGCACTTATCTGAACTGGAAGCCGTGTTCCTCTCCTGGTTTTCCTTTTTTGGAATTACCAATGTTATAAATGATCAAATCATGAGCCAAAATTGTCAAAAATTAAGCAAAGGTTTATTAATTTGTCTGTGACACCGAATTTTGGTCCTTGAAACCACCACAGCCAATGAGACAGCATTGAGCCCGGGATCGCCGCCGGGTGAACCTGTATCTGACCTCCCGAGTGTCAGAGTCTCCCCCGTTCACGCACGCTGCTTCTTGCAACGAGGTTTTATGCAGTTTATTCTGCCCGAGGCAAAGATGACCAAATTTCCTTTGTATCTCTTCACGTGCATTGCTGTTTTTTTCCATGTGCAGAGCTGGACAAAGGCCGAGTCCAGGTGTGCCATCAGCGTCAATCAGTTCAGGGGATGCCGTGTATTCAGCTGCATCAGTTTGGCACCGCTGACTATCTCGATAGATGCGACTGGCAAGGTGATAATCACTCTTAGGTGGCTCCCCATGACTCAAGAAACCGGTGATCATCGCCATGGAAGCTTCTCTTCTTATGTTAAGGTGTTGATTGTTATCTTAACTTGTGTCCAGGAGCTAGTTGAATCTAAATAGAGAGCTGCTCCCAGCCAGGAGGTCAAAGACATGATTTTGGGTTTCACAATATTTTATACCATTCATTAACAGCATGAATTTTTCATACCATATATTACACCAATACTACTGATGGCACATGCCTTGGCTTGTCTGGCCCCTGCAGCTGAACCAAATAGCAGCAACTGTGGTGTTCCACCCCAGAGACACTTTTGGCCAGCTGGATGTTGCAGCTGGGAGCGTGGGGACAAGTCCAGACATGCCGGGACTCCGGTGCCAGTGGGATGGAGCTTCCTCCCGTGGAGGGTCTGCTCCTCAGGCTTCCCTCTGCCAGAGAAGCTTTAAGGCGGTAGTGAAGGAAAGGAGTTGGTTCTGATGGAGGGTTTTAATCCAGAGCTTTATTCTGGCCCAAAGGCCACTGAATCCAGCAACTGCTCCAATGGAACTCCTGGACCGTATGATTATTCGCCCTTTTACCCGAAGGAGGGGAGGAGGGAAGGAACGAGGCAATGTTTTTGTGGCCCAGTGGTCACAACCTGCAGGCAAACATCTCGCTTTGGTCAGCTTGCCGCCCCCACACACTTCCCCCGGTTTGGGGGGTTCAGTCCCATTCCTTAGAAGGAGGAGAGGGGCCTTTTCACATAGGGGTTTCATGTCTCAGTCCTCGATGGAGAGGCTTCTTACATCTCAGTCTGTCTGTCATGGTAAAACATAAAACAGGTGAGGGTCTTCTGTGGGAGACCACCCGAAACTCAGGAGAAGTCCAGCCAGGCTGAGAGGTGGGAGAGCTTCCAAGGCTATTGTTGCAGAAAGGGCACAGTGCCCCCTTCTTTGGGCTCAGTGCAGCATACAGCAAACAACACCTGTGAAAACAACAACTTAGCACGGTGCTCTCAGGTCTCAGGGCCTTTGTCGTGTGACTTACTCCTACAGAGCTAGACAGGGGTGGTCTTCTCTTTAGTGCTCCCCAAATGACGATCGTGAGGCAGATAAGGGAAAATTCACACAGACTCTCACACCTAGAAGCAAGTCACAGAAGACAAGAAATCTCTGGAGGCAGCCAAACACATGGCCAGGATCCTGAGAGACCTGGAGAGGCACCGTGGTGTGTGCATTTCCCTCAGCCTTGTCCTGCAGCTCAGCAGCCAGGAGCTTTGGCTGCACATCTGGAAATGCCGTGCTCGGCACAGTGGGAAGGGATCCATGGCAGCCTCACTACCCCACTGCTGCTTCCACGCCCTGCAGGGCTGTTTGCCAGCCTGGCCTGGCTGCAGCTTCTCCCCAGCCTCTGCAGGAAGGCATTTGGCATTAGCTGACAGGGAGATCAACCTGCACCATGGGCCTGAAATCCCCTGTGATTTCCCTGTCGCCAGGCAAATCAGAACGGGCAGCTGTTTGGAGAACAGAGGGCCCTGGCCTACCCAAAAATTTGACAGGGATTTCCTGCTTTTTAACTGTGTCTTTGACAAGCATTGGCTCCTGAAGATGCCATGTGGCCAGTGGGGAACAGCCCCACCTGATCCAGTTATACCTCATCTTTTCTCCAGAAGCAGAGGTAGAGGCTTGGCAGAAGGAAGCACTTCCCAGCAGAAGCAGTGGCTCATGGACAGCCTCTGCTGCAGGAAGGGAGGCGATGCCAGGTACAGTCACAGGAGGTAATTGCTGTGCCTCTGGGCCTGAGCCCTGCTGATGCTTGAGCTGCCTTCTTGGCTGCTTGGCACTGCGGGCACAGCCCAGACAAGACTCTCAGTTCCGGAAACCCTGCCCTGCTCTTGTCTAGAGCCCTGAGTGATTCCACAAGATCACTGTCAGTAGGAGGAAGTAGCATTTAGCTGTCCATTCTTCTTCTGTGTGCAATGGTAGTGTGTCCTTCCGTGTGCTCTGTGCAGCCATGGAGAAGATCAGGGAGGGGAGGGGATGGGCCCAGGGCTGTGCCCGGGGCTGAGCCTTGCCTGCAGCCTGAGGATCTCCTACAGTGCCAGAGAAGCTGTTCTGTCCTCCCTTTCTTTGCAGCTGAACCTGTTGGTGAAGGTGATCTGGCTTCCCAACCCACGTTCAGGATTGAGCCTCTGGGACATGGCGAGGGTAGGTCAAGGCCTTTCCCCTGGGAGAGCTGCCAGCTCAAAGCCCAAAGCTCAGCCAGGGGGGCATCGCTGCAGATGCCAGGACAGAGCCATGCACGTGTGTGCCCTCGCTCTGCACAATCCCTTCACACCTTCTGCTCAGGCCTGGCAGCTATTTAGAGGAAGGTAGGCCCTGGCCCAGCCCCAAAAGGCCAGATGTTTTTTGAATCTTATCCCCATTTTTGATAGGCATGATGTCCAGAGGATGCCACCAAAAGAAATCTGGAATTGTTCCATCTGATCCAGCTGAACTTTTTTCCTTTTTCAAGTGATGGAGCAAAAGGCAGGACAGAAGGAGGTGTTTCCACAAGGAAGTAGAGGCCAATTGGCAGCCTCTGCTGCAGGAAAGGAGGAGATGCCAGACATGGGCACAGGCACAGGAGGTAATTGCTCTGCCATGGTCAGCCCTTGGAGGGGCTGTGTGGTGGCAGCTCTTTCCACCAGAGCCTACCCTTGAATGGCCCAGCACCAGCCAATGCTGGAGGCACCTCTGGAGCCTTGGAGGCCTCTGGAGCCTTGGAGGCCTCTGGAGCTCATTCACAGCCCCAGGGAAAGGGGACCTGTGCACCAATGTCCCTCCCGCTGCAGCTGCTCTGCAGCTGGCCCTAAGTGCCCAGAGGCCCAAGGCACAGGAGCAGCCCCGAGCGGGAGCCCTGCCGCGAGCCCAGGGCCAGAGCCAGCCTTGGCTCCCGACTGGGCAGGGGCTGCACTGGGTCCTGACAGGGCCTGACTCTGTGCCCTGGGGCTGGGGGAGCTGTCACAGGGCAGGGAGGGCCAGGGCGGCAGTGGCTGCTCAGGGATGGCTTTAGCCCGTGTCCCTCCAAGCAGCCGCTGCCCAAGCAGCTGCGCTGGCCCCGGGCTCTCCTCCCGGCCTGCTGGGCTTTGTTGGGTGGCACAGCCTGTGCCAAGGGGCGGCAAGGTGCCTGCAGGCCCCAGCTCTGGGGGAAACGGAAAATGTCCTGCCTGCAGTCACAGTGCTGCCAGCTCAGCAGCGCAGCACAGCACGGGCTCACGCTCCCCATTGCTCCCACATGTGCAGCCGGCCACACCACCTATCCCAGATAGGCCCTGCAAGGGGTTTCGGTAAGGGAACAGGCTGCTGGATAGGATTAATAGTAGGCCTGCTTTTTTTGGAGCTTATTTTCATCTTATGCTGTGTCCCAATTTGGACTTACTGGAAGAGAAAAGGGTGAGTGTTTTGTTCACCTTTCCCTCAAACAGCTTCTTTTGAAAGTCTAATGTAGACAGGAAACATTCCCAGAGATGCTGCAGTGGAGTTGTGGCCAGTCCATGATTGTCCATCTAACTCTTCTGAGGGTTCTACTGCTGCCCAGTGCTTTCACTGGCCTCCTAATTGCAGGGCCTTGTCCTGGGAGACCCGCTGGGGCTGCAGCCAGTGCTGGCTCCCACTGAGGCTGCCTGGCCAAAAGCAGCCCCATGGGCACAGGGCAGAGGCAGAGCAAGGTGGGGAGGTGAAAGCGCAGGGACGAGATTGCCCTTGAAAGGCGGAGGCGCTCTGGGGCCCGCTCCTGGCCAGGGAGCCTGCCCAGAGCCGTGCCCTGCTTGCCGGGGCCTTGAGGGGCAGCTGTGCAGCTGGGCCAAGCTGTGCCAGCAGCTCCAGCCGTGCTGGGGAGCCTTGCCAGCTCTGGGCCCTGCTGTGCAGGAGGCTCCCTGTGTGCCACCGGCAGCTGGGGCCTCAGCCACCTCCTCTCTCCACAGGTGCTTCTGTGCATCTTCAGAACAGAGGCCTAGCAACTCGGTCAAAGAGAACTTGGCCTGTTATCCCTGGTCTCCACTTATGCCCTTATCTGCCCTGCCTCGGCTGCAGCACCATCACGAGGCCTTCCCAAATTACTCTCCTCCAAAACGAGACCCTATACCTCAGGGCCCCCTTGTCCTGTTCCCCAGCCAGGATTGAAGGTGGGCAGCTCGTGTCTGCCATGGCCGGGCTTGGCCCACATTTTATATTTCAATAAAGAAATGGAGATGTCACAGCTCTGTCCAGGTGATAGCAGTAGGAAAGCCCACGCGGCACCAGCAAAAGCTGAGCTCCATGGCCAGGAGCAGACATTGATGCCCACGGTGTGGGCAAGCAGGAGCCAGGCAGGGGCTGCTGTCACCAGCAGCGGGGCCTCGAGGGCTGGGGGAGCCCATGCTGAGCGTCCCTGGGCTGAGGGCACATTGCCTTCCCTGGCATCAGCTGGGCCTGGAGCTCCTCCAGTGGCATGCCCAGGGAAAGAGGGAAGCCATCGGGAGGTGCTTGCCTTGAGAACAATGGAAAGAGGCTGGACTCTGAAGGAAGTTCTTCATAGCCTGAGGGATGAACTCAGAGCCTGAGAGACACTGGGCCTTTGGCAGCCTGGGATCTCTTATCAGCAGAGAGGGGATTTTCCCCCCAGGCCTAATCTGTTCACCCAGGGACACATGGTGAACACACACACACAGAAGATGGCTCAGCACTGGTGCTGCTCCCTGAGTGTTATGTTTGGGTCCCTCTAAAGGCATGCAGGGGCTTTGGGTCACCTCTGTGCTGTGCAGGGGACTGGGGACACCAAGAAGTTGTGCAGGGGGTTTAATGTATGTCCCAAGTTGTGCAGGGGCATCTGTAAAATTGAGCAGAGGTCATATCTATTTCTTTGAGGACATACGGGGATTTTAGGGTGGCGGAGGACACCCATAAGATGTGCACAGGGTTTGGGTGTACCCTAAAGTGTGAGCTACCCTGAAGGCCTGTGTTGCATTATTTTTGTCAGCTTTGGCATCAAGTTCTTCACTTTTTAAATATGGGCCAAATGGCCACACAGCGCAGAGGAGGGACTCGGTGTTAGCATGGCAGGGTTGCTGCTGCCTGCAATAGTGGGAATCACCAACATGAGTGGAATATTAGATGTGACATTGCTATTATAGGTAGAACCACAAAAAGTCTCACTTGTGCAATATCGTGTATCTCAGTTGTGAAAAAATCCGAGCTTGCAATACGTACTGGGCGGGACATCCACTCCTTGCTGGAAGGGCACCGCTGGAGATCCATTCCAATGAAATCCTGCCCCAGCCATGAGGTCACAGCAGGCTCTGAGGTCACAGAGGTGCCAGAGCCCCGTGGTTGCACAGCAGCACAAGGAGCGAGCAGTCAGTGCTTGAGCACAACTGTTGCGGCAGCAGCAGCGGCGGTGGCAGCAGTGGTGCTGACATTGGGACAGCGGTGTCAGGACAGCGGTGGCAGCAAGAGCTGCGTGACTGGCAGAGGGCAAGGCAGCATGGCCCTTGCTCTGCGCCTCTTCCTCCTGCTCCTCCTGGCCGTGGCCCTGCCTGCCAGGGCTGCCCAGGCTGCTCCGCTGCAAGCGTGGCGAGCAGGTGAGCCGGCAGCCTGGCTCCCCTTTCCCGGGACAGCGCTCCCTGCTCCCCGGGAAGCGCTGGGGATGGTTTTCCCCAGGCCTTTGGGAGGGTTTCCTCTGGGGGAGGGAGAGAGCCCCCACAAGCCCCTCGGCTGGCCCAGTTTCCTTTCCAGGGATGTGTCACAGGGTCTGCAAAGAGGGTGGAGAGTGACCAGGAGCCAGCCCAGAGCTCCCCAGGCCCGTGTGCAGCTCTGGCCTTGTCCATTGACATCTGGCCCACACGGACTTTCCCGACCCCCTTGCAGTGCCCAGGTCCCAAAGGCAGAGGGGGGATCCCAGGACACCATGGAAATGGTTTTGGGTGTTTGCTTCCCTCTAGATGAGCTTTCTAGGAAGGTTTCTCCCTCTCTGCTGCTTGGCACTCCTGGCACGCAGCATTACCTGACCCCCTTCCAGTGCTGGCTTCCCTATAGAGGGGGAATCCCAGCACAGCATGGAATGGTTCCCATCTGTGCTCCTTTCTAGACTGGGATCCTGAGTTGCGTGGATTGGAAATGCTGGTAAAGCAATACTTAAGGATGCTGGAGCTTGGTGAAGGTAGGCTACCAGCAACCCTTCCCTAAAAGAGTAATCATTGTCCAAGTGAATACCTCGTTCAGAGTAATATTCCTGTGTCATTCCCCTCAAGATCCGCTGAAGTTTGATAAATTGTGGGAATCCTGGCTTCCAAATTTCTGCTCCTGTGTCCAACAGTGATCCCACAGGATCTCAGTCATAGAGAAAAAGGATCATTTATCTGTCCATCTCCCTCCCATGTGCAATGCCAGTGTGTCCTTCTGTGTGCTCTGTGCAGCCACAGAGAAGAGCAGAGAGGGAAGGGGCCGGGCCCAGGGCTGTTCCCCTGGGCTGAGCCTTTCTCAGCTCCTTTGGCGGCCCCAGGGAGCCTGAGCTGCTCCTGCTGCCACTGCCAAGCCCTGGCCCTGCCTGGGGCTGGGTTTGGAGCTGCAGCAGCTCCAGGGAGTCCTTTCTGCACCGACTGCCCCGCAAGGGGCTCCTTCCATCCCAGTGTGGGGCCACTGCAGGCACGAGGTGCCCCTGGCCCTGCTCCTGAGGGGAAGGCAGAGCTGAGGGAATGCCTTGGTGGGCACCAATCACCCAGGTGCCCTCCAAGGCACTCTGGCAGGAAGTAGAAATGGAACAACTTTCTCTTAAGGTCCTCCGAGTTCGATGAACCAAGCTACAGGAGACAAGAAATCCCTGGAGGCAGCCAAACTTCTGGACAAGATGCTGAGTGACCTGGAGAGGCCCCATGGTGGGTGCATTTCCCTCAGCCTTGTCCTGGGGCTCAGCAGCCGGGGGCTTTGGCTGCACATCTGGACACGCCATGCCCGGCACAGCGGGAAGGGATCCATGGCAGCCTCGCTGCCCCGCTGCTGCTTCCACGCCCTGCAGGGCTGTTTGCCAGCCTGGCCTGGCTGCAGCTTCTCCCCAGCCTCTGCAGGAAGGCATTTGGCATCTGCTGACAGAGAGCCCAAACTGCACCATGGGTCATACATGCCCTGAGATCCCCTGCAATCGCCTGGACCATGGGGAGATCAGGAATGACAGCAGTTTTGAGAAGGGCAAATCCTGGCCAATCCCAAAAGTTTTTCTGATTTCCTGATCCTTATCCATCAGTTTGACCAGTAATGCCTCCTGAAGATGCCACCTCCCAGAAAGGGGAACATCTCCATCTAATTTAGCTGTCTCTTTTTCTTTCTCCAGAGATGAACCAAAAGGCTGTGCCAAAAACAGCATTTCCTGCAGGAAGCAGGGGCTCATTGGCAGCCTCTGCTGCAGGAAGGGAGGTGATGCCCAGCACAGTCACAGGAGGTAATTGCTGTGCCTCTGGGCCTGAGCCCTGCTGAGGCTTGAGCTGCCATCTTGGCTGTGCGTCAGTGCCTGCCCTCCAGGGATGTCAGAGAGGCCCTGCAAAGAGAGTGGAGAGTGACCAGGAGCCAGCCCAGAGCTCCCCAGGCCCTTGTGCAGCTTTGGCCTTGTGCATTCAC